TAGTAGTAGTAGTAGTAGTAGTAGTAGTAGTAGTCGTAGTCGTAGTCGTAGTCGTAGTCGTAGTCGTAGTCGTAGTCGTAGTCGTAGTCGCAGTAGTATAGTAGATAGTAGTAGTCGTAGTAGTAGTAGTAGTAGTAGTAGTAGTAGTAGTAGTAGTAGTAGTAGTAGTAGTAGTAGTAGTAGTAGTAGTAGTAGTAGTAGTAGTAGTAGTAGTAGTAGTAGTAGTAGTAGTAGTAGTAGTAGTAGTAGTAGTAGTAGTAGTAGTAGTCGTAGTCGTAGTCGTAGGCGTCGTCGTAGTAGTAGGGGGGGAAGAGGGGGAAGGAGGGAGGGAGAAGGAGGACATGAAGAGGCCAAGAGGGAGGACGAAGAGTGCCATGGAATGGGGAGACGGAGAGAGGCGATGGAGTGGGGAGGACTCCGGAGGAGTTCCGAGGAGTGCAATGGAATGGGAAGGGACGTAGAGAGGAGAGAGGAGGGAGGAGGGTGGAGGGAGGAGGGAGAGCGAAGGAGGAATGAGGAGGAGGCAGGAGGAGGAGTGCCATGGAATGAGGAGGCGGAGGGAGTAGTGCATGGAGTGGGGAGGACTCCAGAGGAGTGGGGAGGAACGCCGAAAAGCAAGATGGAGGGAGTTTCGAGGAGTGGGGAGGGATGCCGAGGAGCACGGTGAAGTGCGAAAGGGTACAGAGGAGTGGGGAGGAGTGTGGAGAGGGGGGATGAGGAATGGAGTGAAGTGCGGAGGAGTGCCGAGGAGGGCGATGGAGTGCGGAGGAATGGGAGGCTCTGGAGGGCTCCTTGGAGGCCTCTGGAGGGCTCTTTGGAGACCTCAGGGGGACGCTTTCGTGGACTCCTGGGCTTCGCTGCCCCGATACGCAACAGGCCACACGGAACGTGGCCCAACACGTAGGCTCAAAACGGAGACCTGGCTGCAACGAAAAGCGACATGGAGGGAGTTTCGAGAGACTCTTCGGAGAGCCCAAGAGGCTCTTCGGAGAGCCCAAGAGGCTTTTCGGCCGCTCCAGGAGGCTCTTCGGCGGCTCCAGGAGGCTCTTCGGCGGCTTGAAGAGGCTCTTCGGAGAGCCCCAGAGGCTCTTCCGAGAGGCTCTTCGGTGAAGGGGTGGGGGGTGGGGGGTGGGAGGAGGCTTTTTGGAGCCCCACCCCCCCACCGGGCCGCACTAACAACCAACTGGCCACAGTAACACCTTATCTCCCCCCCCCCCCGGACCCCCCCCCGTCGGGGAAGGGATCAAAGGAAGGGGCTTCCCTTCGACTCAATTGCGACGTTGCTCAATTTGAGGTAGGAGGCGGCTACCGTTTGAGGTGGGAGACGGCGACGGCCGTAAGGCGACGGCGACGACAACGGGGAGGGGAGCAGCGAGGGTGACAACAACCATGGCGAACAGCACCGGGGCGGGAGCAGCGAGGGAGGCAACAACCACGACGAACAGCCCATTCCACACGCCGACAGGTTCGGCGGATCTCTACTTTTCCTCCAAACTCCGCCTGTAGGGGGACATGCCCGACCTAAGTGTACTGCTGATTCGTTCTCCAGGTCAATGTGGCTCGCGGTGCTGCGCTTGCGTGCCAACGTCAGCGGCGGGGCGACGGCCGTGTGCGCTCGGCGTCACCCCAACATACTTGTACTATATGTGCGTCGCCCCCCCGGGGGCGATGCGCGCACCGAGAAATCTCATAGTGTATGCGTCGTGGCGGGCGCTTTCTGGCCACGCCGCTCGGGAAGCGATGCGCTACAGGATCGGTATGCTATATGTTGGGGTCGGGCGCGCGCCTCCAAGGAGAACATGTAGTGCTGGCATGTCTTTGTGCGTCCCGTGCGCCGCTCGCGAGGCCGCGGCGATGCCTTGGGCCGCCCCCGCGCCGCTGCCCCGGCCGTCTGCCGCTCCCCCCGCCGCTTTTGGCCGCGCGGCCTGCGTGCCGCGCGGGCTCGCCCTCCGGCCTGTCCTCGAGGGTGTGCCCGGCTTGTTGCTGCCGCGTAGCACAGGCCGTTGTTTAGGTTGTTTTTTTTGTGTTTCTTGCTTTCTTTGCACATATTTGCAATCATACATGTAGTTTGATATATATATATATATATATATATATGTATATATATATGTATATATATATATATACATCATTGTTTATACCAGATTGCGTTGGCCCTTCGCGCCATGCACCTTGTTCCTTGCAGTTTCGGATGCAGGTGGCGTGCGTGCGCGCGGACATGGGGCGGGCCACCGCCCAATCGGAATGGGTGAGGAGTTCCTGAGCGGGAGCGACCGGACAACACCAGCTGAGGCCATCTCAGGGCGCTTCGGGGCCCAGAGGCGCGAATCTCTCTCAGGCGAGTGGTTGGGGCAGCATGAAGCAGGGCATCCTCCTCCTCTTTCTCCGCCTCCCCCTTTTCCTCCTCCTCTTTCTCCTCTCCTCCTCCTTCTCTACCTTTTCCTCCTCCTCCTCCTCCTCTACCTCCTCCTCCTCCTCCTCCTCCTCCTCCTCCTCCTCCTCCTCTTCCTGCACCTCTCACAGAACATGCTATTTTCTGCATGCGCGCTGCTGAGCTGCCGGCTTCGAGCCCCAAAGAGGCCCAAGGTTTGCCCAAGAAGGCCCTAATAATTGAAGTTCAATGAAAACCATTGGAAAATCAATGTTTTTGCCCTTCTCGCCTTTTCGCTTCCGATTGGCTCTTGAGGCGTCAAGATAGCCCCAGGACGGCTCCAAATAAGTCCCCAGACGAGCCCCAGAGGCCCAAGGCTGGCTCAACGGGGCCCGGAGAGTCGGAAATCAGGGAAAACTAATTGAAAACGCAATGTGTTCGGCCTTCTCGCTTTTCCTTTCCGGTTGGCTCGAGAAGCGTCCAGATGACCGTAGGATGGCCTCCGAGAGGCGTAAGCCGAGGCCCACAGAAGCCCAAGGTTGGCCGAAGAGGGCTCAAAGAATTGAGCATCCGTCATAATCCATTGTAAGATCAATGTTTTTGGTCTTCTCGCCTTGTCGCTTCCGAGTGGCTCTTGAGGCATCAAGATCGGCCCAGGACGGTTCCAAATGAGTCCCCAGACGAGCCCCAAAGAGGGCACAGACTGGCCCTAGAGGTTCGAATATAAAAAACAATGGGAAAAACAACATGTTCGGTCTTCTCGCCTTTTCGCTTCGGGTCGGTTCGGGAGGCGTCAAGATAGCCCCAGGATGGCTCCAGAGAGGTGCGAGCCGAGGCTCACAGAGACAGTACGAGCCGAGGCTCCGGGGCGGGGATGTGTCTTTGACCGCCGCCTGTGGGATCGATCTTCGGGCCTCTCGGCAGGCGGTGGCCTCGGCCTGGAGCATCGGATCGACCACGGCCTTGTCGATTTGAGGAGTCTGTCTGGGTGGACACTTCGAGCCTGCGGGTAGCCAGCCCTCCTGCAGTCAAGGCCCACAGCGTCGTTCCTCCGTTTCTGCACCTTGCGTTCGTCCTTCCACCCTCTCCGTGTCCCAGCTTGTCCCCCAGACCTCGAACGTCGTGGTTTCTTCACCATGAACCCATCGACCCTTGGGACAACGTTTTCATCCTGGATCATTTCCTGATGGCCCTGGGTCCCGAAACGGTGTTCGAGCGGTCAGAACTCAGGAGACACATTGGCATTGGTTAAACCACGGCGTCGGAGGTCTGAGTCTTTTTCCCCATCCTTGGTGCGGCGGCGGGCCCTTGCACATCATTGCCCAAGGGCCGCCTGTTCGTTGCCGCTCGCTTCCCTCACCGCCCTCCCTGTTGCGAAAATGAGAAACGACAACTACATAAGCATAAACTTGCGACGCCCTGCGCGGATTTCCTGGATCTGCGCTGGGCCCCCCTGGCGGCACCTCCGTCGCCGCGCCTGGCGTGCTCCGCGCGCCAGGGAGGGGGGTCCAGCGCAGATCCAAGACATCCGCGCGTGCCGTCGGAAATTCGTATCTACGCCGTGTTTTCTCCCTCGAATGTCCTTTCCTTCGCCCCTAAGTCCTAAGGTGTGCATGCTCACGGGCATGAAGAAGTTCAAGGCCCTGCCGTGCCGATTGCACGCTTCCGCCCTGTTCCTCCTTTTCCTCCCAGTGGCTCCCTCGGTTCCAGTCTGAGCCACACACTGCGAATCACCCCTTGCCAGCGAGCGTCATCGCAACTGTACAGTCGGGGCGCTGAAGAAGGAACCCTTTTCGTTTGGGAGGGGCTCCGTGTTCCTTAGTTGTTTTATAGTGCTCCTTGGGTCTTCCTGAGGTTTTCCATGGAAAAGTTGAGTTTAACTTATGGGAAAAAGGGGCCTCGTTCCTGAGTAAGGGTTCCTTGGGTCAACGCCCCAACTGTAGTGCCAGCTCTCCCGTATTGGCCAGTGCGCGACAGCGGCCATACTATATCGAGAGGTCCAGACCGAGCTCGCATCTCGTGACATCGGCCAGCGCACGCCCTCCGCGCTGGCCACCGTAGCAGGACCGACACCAACCCTGCTGCTTGCCAGTTCGTGCCATCCGTGGCAGCGGAGCGGATGTATTGTAAGCGTCGGGGGGTGCGATGAAAACCACAGCCAGTGCGCCTGAGACGCGTCGGAGTCCCTGCTGTGCGCAATCGCCGGAACAGCCGGAACAGTAGGAACAGCCAGAGCAGTCGGCTAGCGCACACCACAGCCGGACCAGCGTGACGACATCAGTTCTCCATGTTTGCCCGTGGTTGACATCGGAAGAGTGGCGGTGGTTAGCGGAGTTGGAGGGGCCTCATTGCCTTCGCACCCGAAGGAGCGTCGAGTTCCCTGGACTTCCGCACAGTGCCAGAATCCAATCGGGTTAGGTTGCGCCTCAATCGAAAAATATGGCATCAACCCTTCCCGCTGGCCAGTACACGGCACTGGCGGCAGGGGGATTTACATGAGGCTGGAGAAACACCATGATCCTCAACTTGCATTGTAAGAATGTCCAGCTCCCAGGTCCTAAAACCAAAGCCACATTACCAAGACCGAGCTCGGCCAATCGATCCGCAGCACTTGCTACCAGACACATTCACAGCCATTCTTCGTAATCAAGCAGGGCCAGCATGTGCTGTGTTCGTAGCAACATTGTGACTCCAACCATCCCATTCTGACAGTACATCGGAGGCGGGGGAGTGGATGTGTGTGACGGTTTGCTATGGATGTCAAGTCGATGTGCAAAATGGTGTTTCGATTCCGTTTCATTGCAGTTTGTGCGACCGCTCTAGGGTTGTAGTTTCACACATGTAGGGGAGCACACAGGTCCTTTCCGCAGCGATTTCTGGTTGAGTCGACTCTGCCGAGGCTCCGTCTCAGCGCAGACCCCCACTACTACCAGAAGCATCTCTCTTTCTCTCTCTCTCTCTATCTCTGCTCTCTATCTCCTCTCTCGAAGGCCGTCCGTTCCTGTCCGTTCCTGAGCACGCTTTCCAGGTGTTGAGGCGGAGCCCTTATACGGCGCAACATGTTCCAACAGAACAATGGCCCTCTCAAAGACTGCGCAAAGCAAGAGCGATGCACATGATTGTGAAGAGGGGGAGGAGCGGGGAAGATGTGGGGGACCCGCTTGCGAGGGCTTCTACCGTACCTACACCGAGAGCAAGAACGTCCGCTACTAGTGGCCGCCTCAGGGAACGATCGTCATGCCGATTCCCAGCCACAACGTGGTCTGCGCTTCCCCATCCCTTCCCTGACCTGGTGCCCCTTAGTCCCACCACATGTCGTAGGTGGACGCCCACGTCCCCTGACCCCTCCGTTGACCGAGGTCCGAGGGAATATTGGGAGGTCTGGGACTCCAAGGTGGTTTTACGAGTTGTTGTTGCCTTTTGTAGCGACTTGCGCTCTTCCGAGAGGTGCTTCACGGAGGTCTAGGTCAGAGACATTCTCTGCACCTTTCTGGACTAGCCAGGCAAGATCATTCGATGGCGAGTGTTCTTCTCTACCCTCTGGGCCATGACGCGCGTTATGCCCCCCCTCTCCCCCCCCGTTCCCGCCCTGACGTATCGCCCCCCTCCCGCCACATGCGCCCCTGGTACAGCCCCAGTGCGTCTGGCACCACAGTCTGTGGTGCCACACGGCGGGAGGGGGCATGACGTCATGCCCCCCCCCCGGTCCCTCCCCCTTCCCCCCCCATAACGCCCGTTATCGCCGCGAATGAAAACATCTCATCATACTTTTTCTTGTCGGTCGCCGTGGTGTTGGGATCGTAACGAGCCTTGTGGCGGGCCAGACGCTCTACGCCCCAAGTGGCTTCTTGCAGCATCAGTCATGGCCCGATTGGGCAGGATCACCTGCTCGTGCTCTCGTAGGCTCGTTTTTAGGGAAGCGAATGGTGCCCACTTGGGAGTGTCCAGTCAGTGGCCGGCCACAGACAGTCTGTCCTGGGCGTCGTCGGTCTTCTCGTCGTCGTCATCCTGCTCCTGCTGCTGCTGCTGCTGCTCCTCGTGCCGTGCTCCTGCGGCTGATGCTGCTCGACCTTGGGCAGACGATCCATCGTCGTCGTCGTCGCCGTCGTCGTCGTTGTCGTCGTCGTCGTCGTCGTCGTCGTCGTCGTCGTCGTCGTCGACGTCGTCCTCTTCATCTTCCTCTTCCTCTTCCTCGTCCTGGGCAAACGGGTCAGGATGAAGCCCTGGAGGGGGCCCATGGAGCAACCTTCGGCGGGCCTTTCAGCGGGGAAAGGGGGTCACCGACTCCCCAGCGCCTCGACATCACCGAAGCACGGCCAGATCTTCTTAGGCCCGCACGGGCCCCAGGGCCCACACGGGTCGATCAACGCACGTGACCTCTCGCTCAACAATGGCGCCGCGTGCTTATTAGATCATGGCATGATGTCGTTGTTTCACTACGTCGGAGTTCTGGGGGCAGCAGCAAGAGGAGGATGATGACGAGGAGGAGGAGGAGGAGGAGGTGCTCTCGAGCGCGATCGCAGATCGCGCGCGGTTTGGTCAGCGGATGATGATCGCTGGCCGCGCGCGTGCATGCCCACGACCACTTGCTCCTTTGTACCCGATTCCCCTTCGTCCCTGCCCTGTGTTCTACCCTGTCCTTCACCTCCTCTCACACTCTCCCTCCCTGCCTCCACCCCATGCCCCCCTCCCAGCGTGGCGGGTTCTACACTTCAGGTGGGCACTTAGCAAAGCTGAGCAAGAAATACGCTCCTCTCGCCGAACCGCAAGATAGCGAGAGCTGGCGTCAACTCGGCAAAGTGCCCCATCCGACGAGGAAAGGGGTCACAGTGGACCTGCCGACTTTTTGCCCATTTTGGCCGCGGATGTCACAAACAAAACCTCTGTCCGGGGCAGGCGCTACACAAGACGCCACCCACTTCCCTGGCCTGCACCCGCAGCTTCGTGGACCTGACTCGGCGGCGCCCGCAGGTCTGCGAGCGCCTCGCACCGCCGCGCCGCCGCGCACTCGGAGCTCGCTGGCCTGCTCGTCCCTCGCGCGCCTCACACTGGACGCTCCGCAGGCTGGCCGGCAGCGCCAGGACGCCGGCCGTTCTTCGGAGGGGCGCCCGCAAGACACCACCGCCAGCCCTGGCCAGGTCCACCCTGGGCCCTGGACTGGTGCATCGACTTCCAGGCCTGGGCCAGGAAGGCCTCTGCACCGGTCCCGGGCCCACGATGGGCCTTGCTCGGGGGCCCCCAAACGGTGTGGTGACCACACTGTGCGGTGAGTCGGTGGGGATTCGGGGTCACCGCACGGTTTTGGGACTCGAGTCCCTCTCCGAGGATGCCTCGGGCGACAGGGGCCTCCAGGGTCCCAAAATCGTGCGGTGACGGACCGTGCGGTGAGGTCTTGCGGGATTTCGAGGTCACCGCACGGTCCGTCACCGCACCGTTTCGAGACTCCAAACTTGCCAGGGCCGGTGGCGGTGCATTTTTTGGAGCTCTCTTCGTGCTGCCAGCCACGCGTGCCCCAGCGAAGCCGGCGTGCCAGGTCACCTTCGACATGCTCGGCTCGGGGGCCGACCTCTCTCGTGTTCTGCCGGCGTCTCTCTCTCTCTCTCTCTGCTTCACTCTCTCTGTCTCTCGCCCTGTTTCTCTGAATTTCGCGTCCATGTGCACAAGAAGGTGTCGTTCACCCCACACGTGCATGTATGCATTGCTCCCGCTTCTCTCTGTCTTAGCCTTCCTCCCTCCCTTTCTCATTCTAGGCCTTTTCCCTTTCGCTTGCCCTCTCTCCCGCTCTCCCTCCCTGCCCCTCTCCCGCCCCCCCTCGCCATCCCCCCCCCCTCTCCCTCTCTCTTTCTCCCTTCCTTCCCTGCCCCCCTCAGCACTATCCCTCTCCTCTACATCCTTCTTCTCGCCTCCTTCCCCATCGCTCCATCCCGACTCCTCTTCTTGCCGAGTCGCCCGAACACGCACTGGAAGCGCCTCTGGTGGGACGAGGAGAAGATGTGGGTCCGCCTGTTCGCCGGCGCCTCGGGCGGCGCACGGCGAGGGCTTGGCTAGGGTCCGTTGAGATATCGGCGGTCCTTCTCCTCGGGAGCAGGTAGGGGGGAGTAGGGAGGAGGAGGAAGAGTATCAACATCAAGAGGCATGAGGGAGGAGGAGGGAGGAGGAGGGAGGAGGAGGAGGAGAAGGAGGAGGAGGAGGAGGAGAGAAACTGATTACCATTGCAACCACTTGGAAAGGGAGGCTTGGGGCGTTCTCGCGGGGCATCGTGCCCACGCGGATTCCCCGAAACCAGCAACAGGTCCTGGATCCCTTCAGGTCATCTTGAGCGTCCCTGCCCACGAGTAGCGGAGAGGAGTTTCGGTTCGATTCGGTCGTCCTCGAAGGCGTGAGTCAGGCGCACAACCGCCGGACGGGTGCCACCTCCCATGGAAGCAACAGCCGAAATCGGCCCGTTGAGCGCCCGTGAGCGAGGGCCTCATGAGGGCCCGTTGGCAACACGCACAAAATTCTGGTCACATTGAGACCAGATTGTAGTGATTGAACAGCCCTCCTTCCTGCGCCTCCCACCCACCTCCTCGTGCACGGTCAAGTGCTCGTCCACAGCGTTCCCGACCGGAAATGCGGGCACGGGCGCGTCGGGGGCGGGGTGGGGGGGATAACCTCAGAGAGGGAAAGAAGAACAGAACAGACAGGACCGTATGCGAGACATTCCACCCCCACCTGGTATGACGACTGAGACGCCCGCCCGTCCATGTTGCAAGTTTGATTGTAGAAATCATAAGTGCTGCGAGCTTGGTATGGATTAAGCTGCATACTATCTGCTCGCAGCGTGCATCAGCTACCAGCTAGTTGCAACGAGTGTCGAGCTCGGCAGGGCCGAACATCTAGAAACATAAAACTGGGCTCTTCAAGCATGTGAATATGGACACCCAAGGTACATACGTATATAGATATGTATGTATGTATATATATGTATGTATGTATGTATGTATGTATGTATGTATGTATGTATGCATGCATGCATGCATGCATGTATGTATGTATGTATGTATGTATGCATGCATGCATGCATGCATGCATGCATGCATGCATGTGTGTATGTATATATGTATGTATGTATGTATGTATGTATGTATGTATGCATGCATGCATGCATGCATGCATGCATGCATGTATGTATGTATGTATGTATGTATGTATGTATGTATGTATGTTTGTATGTATGTATGTATGCATGCATGTATGCATGCATGCATGCATGCATGCATGCATGCATGCATGGATGGATGTATGTATGTATGTATGTATGTATGTATGTATATATATGTACACATAGACATACCAGTGGGCACACAAGCAATAGTAACTATTCGCCCCTTGGAAACACTGGCCGAGCACACATGCATCAAACATTGGGAACCGCAAGGTAAAACCATTGATGCACATCCGCCTGCACTGACTCAGTGGGTCTTGGTGTGGGGGCCGAAGCACGCTGGGTGAAAGCAAACGCGAGACATTAACTGGAGTACGCTTTGCGGCCTGTGCCGCTTTCTCTCTCGTCTCCCAGCTGGTGCTGCAGCTCTGCTGGAGGCAGTGCTTGCCCGCATGCCTTCGGAGAGCTCTTTGTGTTTTTTTGGGGGGGGGGAGGGGGAGCTGCGGCATCTGCCCACAGAGCGTCCGTGGCCTCCTGCTCGACCCTGCCCGCCTCTACCAGACGAACGGTGTGCAACGTTTACAACTCCTGCTATTCGGCGGGGATCTCGTCCTGACCACCTGCAATAGCACTACAAAGGGGGCGGGGGTAGGTCCAGCCTCGGCATGCTGTCTAATATCTTGTACAGCGAGATTCTGACGCGCAAGTTACGTGATGCAAGCTAGAATCCAGGTGGTGCCATCGCTACGCGGTTCATGCGCGAGCGCAATCCAGTGCTCGGTCATACATCCTGCGCACCGAGCCGCAACTTGCTCACAGAACTGTTGAGGTCGTCCGTGCAATCACCCATTGACATTTGTTTGCACATTTCAGCAGACGCAATGACGCGTGGACTCTTCTCATATGGACCCATGCTTCGGGCGGGCGAGTGATGATGACGACCATACCAGCGGCGATGACGATGATGACGGCGACCGTGGCAATGAAGACGATGATGGCGGTGACGGTGATGGTTATGTGGGTGGTGATGGTGACGGTGACGGTGGCAGTGATGATGTTGCCGATGAATTTGACGACGGTGTTGATGAGCTGATAACAGGCACACGCGCACTCAAGCCATGCCTTGCGTCGGCACCGCCCATGGGCTCGTCATACCACGCGCTCGATGCACCAACGCTTGTGCGCCGTATGGCATTCCCTGTGAGTGATGGCAGGAGGGGGAGAGCTCCTCGCTCTCCTCCCCTTCCTCGTTCCTCCTCGTTTACCCGAACGTCCTCCCCCGCGTGCTTCGCTTCCCACGGTGCGAGCCGCCACGCCATGCGTGGAGCCATTCCTCTTCGGCTCGTCGGCGCGGATTTTCATCTACGTCTACCTTGTTTGCATCGGCTGCGCGGTCGGGGGGTCCAGGCATGGTCAGGTCCAGGCCTGGTCCCCCGCTGACCCCTGTGGTTGTCAATCGGAGTGCGGATGTCAAAACATCGTCCCTCCTCGTTCCTCCTCGTCCCTCCTTGTCCTCCCGCTCCCCCTGCCCAGGTCAGCACCCGCGCAATGCGCATGGTCGACGACGAGGGGCTCCAGGCCGTGGCCACCAGGGCCGGGCTCGACCTCTACGCGTGGATCAGGCCGCACTGGATGCCAGGCGCCTCGTCGTCGTCGTCGTCGTCGTCGCCGTCGCCGTCTTGTTGTCGTCGTCGTCGTCGTCTTGTCGTCGTCGTCGCCGTCCAGAAAAAGGAAAAGCCTGTACGAGCAGAGTTTGTTTGACCTCCGAACTGATTTCTCGGATCTGCGCCGGGCCGCCTCTGGCATCGCCCCCGGCGCGCGGAGCGCGCCAGGGAAGGGAGTCATGCCTGGATCCAAGAAGTCCGCGCGGACCTCAGTCAGTTCGTATTCATGCAGTCTTTTGTTCCTAGATCGTCGTCGTCGGCGTCGTCGTCGTCCTAGTCGTCGTCGTCCTCGGGGGAGGGGCAGTTCGATTTTCAGAGGCGTCCCCGGCCCAGGGTGGCTCAAGGTCTCCTGCCAGGCCTAAATGGCCTCCAGGGCACATGTGCGCAGCGTGCAACCAGAATGGAGAAGTCAGGATAGTAGAGGAGTAATTTGATTAAAAGTGTCACGGCCACGACACGTAGAGGCGCAGAGAGGAGGAGCGTGGGAGGAAGGGATTGAGGGTGAGGAGGGGTAGGAGAAGGAAGATGAGGAGGAGGAGAGGGAGATGGAGAATAAACGGGAGGTGGCGACAGATGTGTTCACCTTCCTCTTCGTGTTCTTCTTCTTCTCATTCTTCTTCGGATTCTTCTTTTTATCTTTATGATTATTAGTATTATTCTTCTTTGCCTTCTTCGTGTTCACTGCCCTCCTCCCTCCACATCGCCCCTTCGTTCTCGCCCGTTTCCCTTCGTTCCCACCCTCCCTTGTCGCTTCCTCCTGCCTTGCCTTCCCCCCTTTCCCCCCTACCCCCCTCCACCTTAATCATCACCGCCTATCCCCAACCTGCATCTCCGTTCGGCTTCTCCCCTCCCCACTTCACTCCGTCCCTCGTCTCGTCGTTGTTATCGTCGTCGTCGTCGTCCTTCTCCTCCGCTTTACCTCCCTTCCTTGGCATGGGGAGGATCGGCCGCATCTCCCTCCGCATTCCCATAAGGAGGACAGGCCTATGACAGGATGGCGATGCCTGCCAACCGCGCTCCGTGGTTTGCGGGGTGCTGAGAGTGAACGTGGCCACCTCCTGTGCACCACCTTTCGGCAGAATGCCGAGTGCTCTCTCATGATAAGTTGCTTTAGATGTGGCGCCTGCACGGGCAAGCGCTGCTCCAGGCTGGGCGACTTGCGCAAGAGAAGCCCTGCACAATGTGGCAACGACCCTCTCAAGCGAACCCGTCAAGGCCTTCATACCCATTACAGATCTGAGGATACGGTTGCTGCAGGCGCTGGCGCCACGTGTCGCGCCTCGGCCAAGTGTGTGCTCCGTAAGGCAGCACGCATTGACCCTGCCTCCTCGCCCGCGAGTGCGCGACTCGGCTCGACTCAGAGGATGGAGGCGTTGGTTGCCCGCAGCAGGCAGCGCGAAGAGGCCGCTGTAGCAGGAATACTGGTCTCAAGCTCACTCACTCACTCAAGAGCCGCGCCTGGACGGCGCATCGGCAAACGAACAAATTACATACACATGTCTGGGAGCGGTTACCGTGCCTCGGAGCTCGACCATCGGCAGCCTTTGTGCAAGTGGCGCGCGAGGGTGATCAGCAACGCTCGCGTGCAGGAGGGGGCGAGCAGGAGGGAGGGAGGAGGGCGGGGAGAGGGGAGATAGGGTGGGGGGGAAACACAACAACGTTACACAATGGTCTAAAGCGCTGCGTTGTTTCTGCCTCAGGGCCCCCTGAGGGGTTTCCCCTCCCCCGCTCCATTCTTCTCCCTGCTCCCCTCTTCCCTCTTGTCGTCGTCCTCCTTCCTCCATCATCACTCCTCTCCCTTCCCCTGCCCTGTCTGCAACAGGCTCTAGGCAGCCGCTGCCCTTGAAGGTCGGCTACACGGACAAGGCCAAGGCCGCCCTGAAGTACTGGCCAGACTACGAGGACAAGCTCAACAAGGCCACCCCCGGCCCTCGTCCTATTCCTCTTCCTATTTCTCATAATCTTCTCCCTCTTCTCCTCGCTCTTTCCCGCCGTGCTCTTCTGACTCCAGCCGCTGACATCTAGCGAGGTGCGCAGCTTGCAGCGCACCTCATGGCATGGCCGACCCTCTCTCCTCGTCCGCCGCTGGGGAACAAGGCTCTCGTTCGCCTTCTCTTTTATGGAACGATCGGAAGAGGTGGAGTCACTTTTCTTCGGACCGTGAGCCACTGAGGTGGCACCAGGGATAGCCCACAGCGGTCAGCGGTGACTCGAGCGGGTGCGGATCATCCTTCTCCGAACTCCTCCCCACCCGTCCTCTCTGTCTCTCTGCCTCTCTCTTTGCTTCTGCTGTTTCGCCAATGCTTGTTGTTTCAACTCCTCCTCCGCCTCCTGCTCCTCCTCCTCCTCCTCCTCCTCCTCCTCCTCCTCCTCCTCCTCCTCCTCTCTCTCTCTCTTGCCTTCCCCCGGGAGGAGACTGCCGGGGCGAGTGCCAACGAGAAGGGGGGGCCGCGCAGCCCTGCTCGGGGGATCGGGCAGACACAGACATCCGTCCCGAAGAGGGAAAACGGCCAGGCGGGGTCGCAGCGCCGATCTCCTGGGGTGACGAGAAGGAGGAGGAGGAGGAGGAGGAGGAGGAGGAGGAGGAGGAGGAGGAGGATGAGGAGGAGGAGGAGGAGGAGGAGGAGGAGGAGGAAGAGGAGGAGGAGGAGGAGGAGGAGTGGGAGGAGGAGGAGGAGTAGGAGGAGCTGCCAGGCCGTGCGGAGCGGGAAAAGCACGAGCGCTATCCCGGCGAACGGCTGACCGCCTTCGCCGTGGAGACTGCAGGCCGGCTCGGCGCGGAGGCGCGTCAGTGGCTGCTGAGCCACGTGCGCGAGCTCCCAGAGGACGAACAGCAGGCTGAGCTCGCGCGCGCTTACTGCGCGATCAGCTGCGCAGTACAGCGCCGCCTGGCGCGGCAGCTGCGCCAGGCGGCGGGCCTGCGCTGAGGCCTAAAGAGGCCGGGGAGGCGGAGGAGAGAGAGAGAGAGAGAGAGAGAAAGGCGAGGGCGGCGGGGGCGGCGGGGGCGGCGGGGGCGGCCAGGCTGAGGCGAGGGGAGGAGGAAGGGGAGGAGGAGGAGGAGGCGGCGGAGGAGGTGGCGGCGGCTGCCGGGAGCGGCGGCGCTGGCGCCCCAGTCGCCATGCGGCGCCCCGGCCGCCAACTGGCGCCCCGAGGTGGGGGCGGCGGCTGGGGAGGAGGCGGGTGCTGGGCGGTGGGAAGAGGCGCCGCGGGGGCGGCGGGGGTGGGGCGGCGGGAGGCGGAAGGAGGAGGCGGCGGCGGCGGCGGCCCACCCCGGCCCCCGCGCGGGCCCGCCGGCGGCGGGCAGCCGTGAGGGCCCGGCGGGTGCGCCCGCGCGGCCGTGGGCGCGCATGCCCGCTCGCCCGGGGGGTCCCTCCGGACTCGGGGACCCCCCAGGGCGGCGCCAAAAGGAGGAGGAGGAGGAGGAGGAGGAGGAAGAGGAGGAGGAGGAGAGGAGAGAGGAGGAGGAGGAGGAGGAGGAGGAGAGGGGGAGGAGGAGAGGAGGAGGAGGAGGAGTAGGAGGAGCTGCCAGGCCCCTCTCCTGCTCTCTCGGCGCACGTCTGCTTGGCTTCCCAGGCATCCGCAGGCTTTTCAGGGATCCGTCTGTTGCCAGGGGGGCCTTGTGGACAGCAGCGCTGGCCAGTGGGCACTGGCGCATCGCACGCACGCCTCTCGCAGTCAGTGCGGCTGCTGGCCAGCTGCCCCCCCCCTTCCTGTCCTGTGCAAGGGTTCCCGAAGTTCCCGATCGTGTTCTGGGCGCAGCCATTCCGTGCGGCGCCATGCGCGGTGGTGCGCTTATTTTGTTCCCTGGAAGGTGTCCTTCGCCAGCCGAGGCATGTCCTTGCCGCCAGTGCACGCGCTGAGTGCGCACCAGCCGCGGTCCGCCCGACTGACTGATGTGCCAGCCTGGTCGCTTCCTCCCTGCGCACCTGTTCGTGGTAGGGCTCTTGGCTGGTCTACGCTGACTTGCCTGCTGTTTTCCCAGACATGATCGCGTCGTGACATATTCACGCCGCGAGGTTTTGGCTGCTGTCGGCCCCTGGGCCCCTGGGGGGCCTCGCTGGGCCCCGGGACAGTACAACGACGACTCGGGGTGACGAGCCGCACCTCCGGGCAGAGGGCTGGGACATCCGGGGGCCGCGTATGGAAACATCCGGACATCGCATGCCTGGGCTTGGTCACAAGCGGTCCCGCAGGCATGCGCCGGGGCACGTGGAACTCGGAGGAGGAAGAGGCACTTGCTTGTCTCGGCGCCTCGGATTCATCTCTTTTGGTGATCCAGTGCTCACCGCGATACGTCAGGGGCGGCATTTGGGCACCCTAGGGGGGAACGGCCAGGGGTGGGGACATTTCCAGGTTCGCGCTCAGAGTTTAGGGATGTCTCAGGTGGTGTTCTTGTTTCGGAGCCGCAGACTCATCTCTTTCGGTGATCTAATCCATGCCCGCAGCGACACATCCGGCGTGGCATTTGGGCACCCAAAGTGGGAGCCGCCAGGGGTGGGGACACTCCTTGATTCGCGCTCAGATTGACAGGATGTCTGAGGTGGTTTGCTGGTTTCGGCGCCCCAGACTCATCGCTTTTGCTGGTCCAGCTATCACCGCGATATACAGCCAAGACGCTGAAATACGGACCGCTTTGGGTTCGGAAGGGGCTCGGGGATTTGGGTCGTGTCTTAGATTTATGTCGTGGGATTTGCTTGTGGCCTAGGCCCACCGTGGCCAGAAACGTCCCTTTGTTCCTTATTTGGCGTTCCTTCTGGTAGCACCTCGACTGTAGCAGGCGTGGCACTTGGCTGCCCCAAGGGGGAGCCGCCCGGGGCGGGGGCGCTCCACCGTTCGCGGCCAGATGCTGGGGATGTCGCAGGAGGATGACAAAGAGGGGGGGAAGAAAAGGAGAAGGAACACATTACGCAAGTCATTTTCGTGAGTTGTTGCTTTCGTCGTCGTCGTCGTCGTCGTCGTCCTCTTCCTCATCGTCGTCGTCGTCGTCGCCGTCGCTATCTCTCATCGTAGCCGCCGCCGTCGTCATGGTCGTTGTGCCCGTCGCCCGTTTTGGTTCGCTCTCACGCCCAGACGCTCGCAGCCAGACGCTCAGAGCGGGACGTGCCAGAAAATGAGGTGCACAGATGGGGATCTCCACTTCGAATCACTTCAATGCATTCTCTCGCCCCCCTCTCGTCCACACACGTACATTGGACCATGATTTTCGAACCCCCCTCTTGGACATCCCGCGGGCGTCTGGACCCATTCCCAGGGACTGGTTTTTCACCCTGGGTTTGTTTCTGACGCTCACGGGGCCCGTCGAGAGCCCCCGGAGGTCGAAGATAGCCCGAAACCGATCGAGGGTCGACCGTGTTTTTTGGATCGAGGACCGAGGGCCGAGGATCGAGGAGCAGGGGGCGCCCCCGACGAGAGGGCCCGAGAGACCGGCCTTTGGGGCCTCCGCCCAGGGCGCCCCGCTCGCGGAGATCTGCCCCGCCCCCACGTTCACAGACAAGTGCCTCATGAGGACCGCCGCCGCCGCGGCCCTGCAGAGCCGCCGGAGGGGTGCGAGCGGCGGCAGGCCCCAGGGCTTCCCAGGCCTCGAGCTGTGCTCGGCCCCGTCGGGAGCTCCCCTCGGCGGCGACGAGGGAAACGACGGCGACGACGGCGGCGACGGCGACGGCGACGGATCACTCAGTAATGTTTCGGATCGCTGTGGAATGGCCTGGGGGTCCCCTTGGAGCGACTTCGAGAACACTGGTCACGAGGGGCCATGACGATGGACGCCGCGAAAGGCCCCATCGTGAGGCGACCGTGCCTTGGGCACCCCCAGAGGCGTTTGGTCGAAGACGGCCCTCCCGTCCGAGAGCTTGAGGCGGCCTTCTGGCAACCCAAGCTGAGTTCGCAGGGACTCCATGACGGAGTCTAATGACACGCCCATCGAGCTTCTCTGCTTTTTGGGGCACCCCTGGGTATCTTCTTCCGCCCTGGTCCTGTGGCCCCCCTGCCCTAGGCATGCCTTTTCCCATTCCCTCGTCTCCCACTGGGTCATGCCCTCCCTGCCCCTGACCCATCCCCCAGTGCTGGTGTCTGGAGTCCCCTCTCTCCCCCCGTGGGCCACGGCGTGGGAATTGGGCCCTCCTGGTGGTCTTTCCCCAGGCTTCTCATTCTGAGTCCTGCATCTCCCCCTTCGAATGATGAGAAGGTGCATGAGCATAAGCTTTGGGAGGCCCGCGTTGGTTTCTTGCGTTGCGCAAGCTCCTCCTCCTCCTTGGCGGCTCGCGGAGCGCGCCAGGGACGGCGCCGGAGGCGCCGCCAGCGAGGTCCAGCGCGGATCCAAGACATCCTCAGGGACAACGTTGAGGTGGGCTGTGCTCGGGGGGAGGATGCATCGACCCTCGATCGCCCACTGATCGCCGACAGGGGCCCGATAGGCCCACCCCGCCCAGGAGCGTGCTGTTCCTCTGTCGGGGGCGGCCTGACGCCGATCTATTGGCGATGAATCGCCGATTCCAGGTGGATGCGTTTTCCCCCTGAGCTGGCCCCCCCAAACGTTACCTGTCAAACCCGCGCAGGCCTCCTAACATTCTGCTGGACGTCTGCGGACCAGAGGATTCTCTAACATTCTTGGTGGTTCTCGTTGTGATCGGGCCACAGCACACCAGAGGACGGGTCGACCAAGCACGGCC